TCAATACTATGATCTTGGATAGCATCAACTACAGCCTGATCTTCAATTTCATTATCACTGTTTTCACTACTATCTGAATATTCGAACTCACTAACTTCCGAGTCGTGAGCAAGGAGCTCATCTAGTTCATCGTCCTGTAAAACTTTCCTACTTGTAGAGGCCATGGTTATGGCGCGACTGAGAGAAGAAAGTGTTATGACATCATAGATTTCTGTATCATTCGTAAGTTTGTTTTCTTAGGTTGCATTTGGTTCCAAGAAAAAAGGACCCTCTTGTTTGACTACTTCATTGTATCAGCAGACTGTACAGGAACCCACTCAAGGAAAACCTTCGTCTGGGGTTTCAGTGAGTGACTCATATAGACAAGCAAAGACCATAGAGTCGAAAGATATATAGTTTTATACATTTTCCTTACTTAGAATTTGAAAAATTTCAATGCAATCTAGGCGCAATGAGACCAAAGTACGAACTATTACACTAACGATATAAAATAAAAATACCGTGCTAAAAATTCGTCCATAATAAATAACTCATATACCAACTGAAAGACAAAACCTTAATCTATGTACTCCTGAAAAGAAAATTGGAATATCTTTCCTCGTTTTGTCAGCAACGTCCTTCAAAGCTAACACTGCGCAGGTTGGTGCACTGCACAGATGTCGGTAGCATACGATTATTTAAAGAGTCGGTGAAGCACACTGATGTCGGTGTGGAAGGGTTAATGAACTGCTAGTGAATGGCTTCCCTTAATCTAAAATAGTGTTTTCACTAAATGGTGAAAGCTATAGCTATCCATGTAACAGGCCGTAGAGGCCCATAGGGATGCGACACATCGAGGCCCCCACATTTTCTAGACAGTCGGCTCACAGACAGTGATAAGGTTGTCTGCCTTATGCACTGGCTGCCCTTTACCCCCAGGAAGATTCCTCTTACTGATTTCTGTTAGAGGCTTAGTCAATCCCAGGGCCATAGGGCAGCTTGAAGGATTAGGCATATTGAAAAATCCAATTATCTTACTGTGAATTGAACCGATGACCTTTCTGCTTGTAGCATAGTGCCTTGACCAACTACAGTACTGCATGTGACCTTCACCAAATGGTAGTTAACCCAAAATTACATCATGAAGCTGTTCAACTTATTATAAGAGTTGTTCCTGTGTTTTCTTAATTAAGCACTACACCATGAAGACGTATGGGGGAGTGGATATATTGGTCCACATTTTCTTGACCTTGGCACTAGCTGGAGATGAGTGGTCAGCTCCACGCTCCATCTGCTTTGTTCCCAGTACCCATTGGATAGGAGGCTGGGCGGACCCCAGGGCTGGTCTGGATTACATGGAGAAGAGAAAACTCCTGACCCTACTGGGACTTGAACTCCAATCCCTCAGTCATCTAGCTTGTAGACAGTCACTGTACCAACTGTAGTATCCCAGCTCCCCTATTATAAGACTTACTATATATATGTATAATTATGATAAAAGGATTTCTTTACATTAAGTACGATAGATAAATAAACTGTTTGTATATAAGCAAACAATTTTAATTGATCAGTATGTGAAATTTATATCAAAAATAAATAATGACATGAAATAAACACTGAAGGAACCCCATCGGGAATCAAAAGAACTGTGACGCCACAAGCAGTGTAGCTTCAGTCTGTGTTCATCATGTGACATCAGTTTCCATAGATTATCAGCGTATGATGATGATTCTGGTGGAGAAATATGAATATTGATTTTTGTTTCCACCACAGTTGCACTAAATTGAGATATGAGTTTTGGGAGCGTCTGAAGTTCCTTACACTTGATGCAGAATATTTACTGATTTGAAATTCACCAAATATGAGAAAGTATATAGTGGTCTTTGGTTGGGACCTGTAAATACGGATTTCAGTAAAATGTTGACACAATCAGGATTTCACTGTAATATGAAAAACAGTGTTTTTTTATGGCCCACACATTTATTATCATGTCTCAAAACATGCTCAGAAGGATCAGTTGCAAGTACGCATATTATTTCAGCATTTCTGCATGTGCTGACTATGTATTTGAGCTCTGGTGCAATAGGCCAAAAGTGGCCTCAGTACAAGGGACTTAGTCCCACCCCACTAGCAATGTATTTGAGCTGATAAAGATATTGTATACCAAGTTGCTTTTGTAAACATACATTGAGAATGTAAGATACGCCATATATTTCCAGATAGTTCTTATGTATTGCAGCACTGTGCTGCATGTAGCTCAGCCTTAATGCATGCGCTGAAGCTGTTGTTACTGACAAAAGGTGGCTATTTATTACTGTGGATAGAAGGAAGTTCATTTGTGTGCACAGGTAGAGTTATTTGATACATTTGTGTGAATACTTTACCCATTACATATGTGAACTTCCTTCCTGTTGTATAAAATAATTTTTTGTATAATTGTCTTACATTTTTATGTCAGTCCTTAGCTTTGTGTTTCAGGTATTATTGCAAGGGACTTCCCCCCCCCAAGTTCTGAGCCGGAGATACTGATTCGTTTTGATTTCCAGTTCATTGGTAAGTTCAGCAGAAACAGGCGGATGTTACCCTTAGGTTATGTATGGTAGCTCCTGCCATTCAAGTTGAATTTACATCTTACTGCTGTTTCTTTAGTGTTCAGTATTTTGAATACCATATTTTAACCTTTCAGTCAGATGTTCACGCTGTTAATTTCTTAAAATGTGTATCATACTCAGAACAAGATTAGCACATTGAATGGAACAGTTTAAGGAATATTGGGCGTAAAACAATTTGGGCTTATTTTCTTGAATTCGCTGAATAAAATTTCCCTTGTACCAATCTTGTTTCTGACTTCTGACACATGTGCCTATAAACACACATATTCTGTCATTTGTGCTAATAATACCGTAGTTATTTATTATTTTGTATTTAGTTATCAGTTTCACCATAAATCTTTTACCAGTAATGCTATCTCTAGTGGAATCCTTAACGTGCTGCAGATTCTGTTGTTGTCAAAATGACCCTAAAATTTGTATATATATCTGGACTCTTTATACCCTTACAGTTTATATAATTTAATACAAAAATTATGTAGGTGTATGATTATTTTTATATCAGAATAACTTTTCTATAGCAGCAGGTTTTGTATGTGTGAACATTTTTTTTTGTGATTATCTGTAATGATCTCATAATTGAATGGAACTATGTGATGTGACTGAGCTACAACCTGCAAGAACATTCATGCTCAGAGGCTGAAGGAGTCAAATTACTGATGAACCTTGAGTCTGAACATCAGAGAGCTGATAACATATGTATCGCACGAATGAAGATGAGAGTCGCTGTTGGAAATGATTCATACTCATTCTGACCCTATAAAAATGACGTTGAAGTAGTTATTTGATAAGTGGCAAAACTGCATATCAGAAGATATTACTGCCAGGATGAAACTAACACTGAGAGAAATATAATGAAAGAGAGACAATTTTGTACAGACTTCATGGAAACAACTGATGGTGTAAGTGAAGAGAAGAAACATGTACTTAATGTGAGTATAAATGAAACTGTGTTTGACTCAGAAGGTGCAAGAGATTCCATGAGGTTGGTGTGAAGAATGAATACTGGGTCATGTTTACATTTTTTTTTGTCATATTTATTGTAAAAGTTCATTTTGTCAACCTTATGACAAGTGTATGAATATTTTAAAGTGACTGAATTACATGTATTATTGAAAATTATTTCCTGTACTCTGTACAGACTGTTACTTTTATTTATAAAATCCTTTCATACTTTTCCTGGATGTCACTTATGAATCCTTGAGACTGCAGTAGGGTGTGACCAGGTGTTTGATTTGAAATATGTCTGTTACAAGTATTCAGATGAATTCAAATGATGGGATTAATTGAATAAACTTTGAGGGCCAGAATTTTGTAATATACAGGTTTGCATTTCAGGGCTCCATTATTCTCCATGATATGTATGTAATGGCCGTCTTGTAGTGCACTCAATTTCATATGTCTCTTCTTACTACATGTTTCGGCAACATAGTGCCATCTTCAGGTTCGTTATTTACGCTAAGCTATTACATTGTTTGCCATCTTGTGTCTTTCATAAAGTTATTTAGAAAGTACATTANTAAATAACAAACCTGAAGATGTCACTATGTTGCCGAAACATGTAGTAAGCAGCGACATATGAAATTGAGTGCACTACAAGACAGCCATTACATACGTATCACGGATGAAAATCAGTGCAACAGGACGTTAAAATACAACATCCATTATTCTCTTTTTGTGAGATTGTATATATGAAATGTGATTTTTATGGGAGAAAATGCAGAGTTGATTGAAATGGAGTAGTTTTTCGCCATTTTACTTTAATTCTGCTGCTCTAAAGTAATAAAAAATTGTAAACTGTATTATGACTAAAGGAACCAGGATAGCTCAGTTGGTTTAGAGACTTATACTGGCTGGCTCACTCTTCTACTTTGAAGATGGAGGCATTATGTTCCTCCAAAATATTGGGCTGTCTCCAAATTACACTGTTACAATACACAACACCGTACTATATATTGGATACTTGGTAACTGAAAACATTTTTGTAGTGTGGCATATGAAAATCACATACAGAAATTTGAGTAGAAACTCCAGTTTAGCAAGCATGCAGGTATGCCTTGGTTCATGCTGCAGTCACAGAGGGTGAAACAGCTTAAAGTGAACACAGGGAAATATACTGGTTTCCTTATCCCCCACAGAGAGTTTCTCAAACCAACCAAAATGTATTAATTGAACATGGTCACATTGAAATGATTTTTTTAAGGGTTGAATGTGATAATTTAGCAATATTTGTGTTAACTGTAAGTTGATCAGAGTCCTTCACTTCTACATGAGACTTTAAACGCTTTTATTGAATGCTTTTTTTTTTACATTTAAAATAATAGTAAAACATGTTAACATTAATCATATCGTTTTAGCATTAATAATACTGTATTGAGAGAAAATATATGAGATGCATACGACCTCAGGTTATGAATGGTAGCTGCAGTATTTGCTAAAATGAAAAGCATTTGGTGCCACATATTCATGAAAGGTGAAGCCTTAAGCTCCAACCTTGAAGACCCAAGAACAAGAATTATATTGGATGTTTTTAGTCATTTTTTAATTCAACAATTTTTATTAAAAGGAAGGGAGGGTAACCTAAAGTGTTGTACATATTCACATGTCTTGTTTGCTACTGATACTTCATTTGAAGTAATGGCAGAATTATAAAAAGTAAGATATTTCTTTTATCCCATTGTGAGCTCATTTAAAATGATATGGTAAACACAGTGTTCCTGTTGCTGATTATTTTCAACATATTTTAAGTTCCATGTGTAAACAATATCACCATGAATCTCACATTCAGAATGACTTTGAGTTCTTTGGTACCATGGCCTCAAATGGGCCAGTAATACCAGCTGCTGATGAATGTGGAGCATTGGCAGGAGAAACCAAAGTTCTTGGAGAAAAACCAACGCCAATCTCACTTTGTCCACCATAAATGCCATATGAACTCCTCTGAGATTGAACTTGGGCTCTCTGCCATGTTAGTTATAGGATGAAATAAGTCTGCTAAAGTAGGTGCAATGTACAATTGAGAACTTTGTAATGACACATTTTGTTAATGAATGATATACCCTGTTGTTTGGGATTTATTCAAGTTAGTTATGCAACACAAAATACAGCATTATGGTATATCACCTGACCGCATCTGTTGGATGCGTTTGCTTCTCGATAAATAGGAATACCAATAGAAAGCATTAAAAGCTAGGAAACAGACAGGGAAGACAATACGTGATGCACGGTCTATCTTGGAGACAGAGTTGTATCTTGGTGCTCGCTTCTTATGTCTCTTCTTAAACTGTCCCTGAATGCTGAGTCTAGGAATGTTTGATGTGCTGATTGTTGGTGTGTAGGCAGTTCTACCAACACTGCTTCCCACATTTCCAGTGCCTGAAACCGCTGTGCCCTTTAAGCAGGAGGCCATTGACCATATGTGATGGTGTGACGGCCTGCTACTGGTGATGGCTGAAGGTGTGATTTGGCAAGCAGAGAGAGGTATCACCTCTAGCAGTCGATTGCTGGTCCCAGTGTCCCCGTTAGGGGAGCTGAAGGTATTAAGGAAGCCACCTGCATTGTCACCGTCACCCTTTGCTTCGCCCTGGTGGGGAACCGACAGTTTTATTTCATAGCTTGTTTAATTTATTTGGAGATTCTGTCAAAAATGGAATAAACTGCTTAGTGATAGAAAAAATTATGAACATATTTGAAGAAAGTCGTCTTCTGGGTTTAGGCACCGTGTATTCTTCGTTTTGGCCGACGTTTCGTCGGAACAACGAAGAATACATAGTGCCTAAACCCAGACGCTGNCCATTCATCTGCTCTGAAGATGGAGGCGCTACGTTCCTCCGAAACGTCGGCCAATATGAAGAATACACGGTGCCTAAACCCAGAAGACGACTTTCTTCATTGTCATTGCCGTGAAAACCTCAAAACTTACATATGAACATATTTCTTGCACAATACTCACATTACTTTGAATATAAGATGTATCCAGTTTTGAATGTTGGTTTTAAGAATAAAATTAGAAAGGTGCACATTCCTCTAATTTATGACTCGTCTCAATTTTTCAACAAAAAAGTGCAAAACATGAGCCTTATATTCGAAGTAACATGGTACATTAGCTAAATTTTCCAATATATGTGAGACAGGATAGCGTAGTTGATATAGTGAGAGGCTACTGCCAGACAGCCATTGTTAGATTCTCAGCAAGGGCAAGAGATTTTTCTCTCCATAGTGTCCAGGTAGACCCTGGTAGACCCTCATCAAATGAGTACCAGGGCCTCTTTTTAGATTCTCAGCAAGGGCAAGAGGTTTTTCTCTCCATAGTGTCCAGGCAGACCCTGGGGCCTACCATACCTCATCAAATGAGTACCAGGGCTTCTTTCACCTAGGATAAAGTGGTCAGAATGTGAAGGTGACCACTTGTCACAATCTAGTGCTGAAGTCAGCTACAACTCCATTCCCATATATGTCCTCGTAATGTGCTGCGTAATTATTTAATCAAAGGATAGCTTTACCTTGCCTTACTTTCTGATGTAATTACACCAGTTAATTTCTTTGGAAAATTCTCACTGAAAGTAATAGTGTACTGTCACAACTGACTGCAGATTTTTATATGGAAGCTGCTATAGAATGTACACAGACACGCATATGCATGTTCAGAAACTAGTTACAGTAGACAAAACGGTGACAGTGCGTAAGGGTATGCCACCGAAGAGGAGGGTTGTGCATATTTTTGTGAGAAAAAGGACTATGCAAAGGATATTCATAAAGAAGTGTTTCTTGTTAATGGTTGGAAGTTTGTTTCATAAAGCAGCTCACAACTTGGTGGCAAACATTTTGCCAATGAAGAGGTTGAAATGGAGTTGCAAAAGTGGCTGAGACAACAGTCAGAAGACTTCTAATGCTGTTAGTTTTGATGCACACGTAACGCAGTGGGACAAATATATCAATGTTGGTGGAGGATATGTTGAGAAATAAATATATTTTCTAGGCTCAAATATCATATTTTACGTTTTTTTATCCATTTATGACCTATTTACTGACTCTCCCTCATACAAGGAACTATATTTTCCAGCAAAGAAATTTTCCAATAAATATATATGGAAGAAATCAAATGTATGTCTATATCCCATAAGATTAATTAAGAATCATAATGTAACAGATTACAATACGTGTTGTGTCTTTGAAGTCCAATTTAAAGAAATGAGGTAACCCTTTTTGCCCTAAACATATTTAGAAAAATTGTTTCTAAACTTAGCTGTAATATTTCATGTGCTCTGTCACTAAATTCATACCTAGCATAAAATTTGAATGTGCTTAGTGTATGCACTTGTGGGATAGATCCCAATAGACACAACAAAGAAATCTCTGGCACATATATGTCCAAATAGAGTCAAGTACTCAGGCTACTGACAGAGAAAACAGCCTCCATATGTGGCAGGTGGCTGTAGATACCCATAGCAAGCAACCGAGTACAACCGACATGGGATGGTCCTCCAGCTGAGATAGTTGGGTGAGTGGCCAAAATTCCTTATCGCAGAATACCAGCATATTATAAATTATACGTGTGACCTTGGATTTTGACAGTGTGAAAGTGTAGACTGGCTCAGGATGGGAACCAGTGAGTGTCTGAGCTTTCGGGTTCCATAAAAGATGGGGGGGATGTCCTGAAAGAGTGACTAATTACCTTCTGAAGGACTCTGCTGCATAAGTCTTTGTGGTGAATTGTAGTAGCATGTTGAAGTGTTATTCATTATGAAACTGAGAAGTGAACAACTTCTTGGAATTCATGGTATCATAAAATTTAGACACAAGCATCTGTTTCTGGAATTTTAGTCATGTGCACCGTTTCAAGCGGGGTAATGACAACACAATTAAGTAGCTTGAGATGATGTTTCAGCATTGTTTTCTCTCAGTAGCTATGTTTTAAATCAGTCGATGTCAAATTTCCACACACGAGATATTCACAAACCGTATTTCTTCTTTAGTGGAGGAAGTATAGGGTCACATGGGTCGAAATGAGGGGTCAAGGGGGGTGGGGGGTGAGTAAAGCATCTGTCCCCCAGAATTTTGGAAAAAATATCAATATTTAAAAAAAAAATGAAATATAAAGTTTATAAATATTTAAAAAAATTATTCATCCATCCTGAATACTCCAAAGCGATTGGTAAAAATAGTATAAACAGTTTAAATATAAGTTTGTAAGCATGTTGTTGAATGTCCCCTCCACTTGTAAAAATTTCTGTTGTGCCCATGGGTATGACAGACATAATGATACATTCTGAATGGACTGCTGCTGTAGTTCCATACAAATTGAGTTCATTAAATTAATAAAGAAAGATACTTCATTAGTTTCTGGCATCTTACATACAGGACATGGGGAATGGCAGTAGATTTCTAATTCTGTTGTCTTACTGAATCAGTTGGCCTTCTCCGTCCCTTGCCTTGAGTCCGATCTTCATCATCAGAACTTGAATCTGAGCTGAGGTCTGAGCTGAAGTAGCATTCGCCAGAACCGTACTTTGTGAAGTAGTGAACCACTGCAAACTGAAACATAATATTATCACAAACAAGTCTCTTCAAGTGATGCTACAAAAATAGTACAGGCATTGGTGCCTGCGGGGGGGGGGGGCA